TGCGCAGAGCTGTAGGTGGGAATATTTGGCTCCAACTTCGACTTCCCGAGCGCCTGCTTCTCACATTTCTTGCATGCAGCAACTTCCGTGCTGTAGCTGAAGGCGTCTGGGCCCGGTGCCCACAATACGCCGGCAGCCACTGCACCGTTCTCGCATGCCGGAGCGTGCCCCTGCAGACAGTCGGCGGCCTGGCCCGAGGTCCACGAAAGATCCCGCCACGGCTCCACGACAACGAGACCCGAATCCAGTGCCGCTTGACGACCCACTGCCAGGTGCAGCCTCCGCAGCGCGCCTCCTGCTCTTGCTGATCGTTCCATAAGGGTTCCACTCAACCGAAAAGGGGGGCACACTCCACAACGACCAGGGATGAACAGGTACGGTTGCTGCCATGATCACGATTCGCCTCGATCTTAGCCACCCGTCCGACATGTAACTGAAATACACAGTTCAGGTGCCACAAGCACGGCGCGATGAGCCGCCGAGGCACGGCATCGAGACTGGGTTGAGCCAAAAGAAATGGCTATGGACCCGCCTCGAGCCGCATGTGCTTGACCGATGAGAGAGGAGGAGGAGGAGGAGGAGGAGGAGGAGGAGGAGGAGGAGGAGAAGGAGGAGCAGGGGGAGGAGGAGGAGGAGGAGGAGGAGGCCCACCGAGGGGGCGCGGTCGTGGCCTGGGACACGCCGCGGCCCTTGTGACCGAGCCTCTTACTTCGGGCGTGCACGCTTGACGTTGCAGGCTTTGAGGGGTTGAATGGGGTCCCCCGAGGGCCAAAGCTTGGCCGAGACATTCGGTGGCTGACAGTTTGCTAGCCTACGCAAAGCCTCTCGTCCACTGTCGGTGCCCACTCCACCAGGACAAGGTACGAGAAGTTGGTTGAGCTTGCCACTCCAGTGCTCGTGCAACTGCCGAGCCTCGCGCACTTCGTACACCAAAGCTGACCATTCATTACCTGCACAGAATGGGTCGGGTGTATCGTCTTACCTCCAACTGTAAGAGAGGGGCACGCAGAGGGCGGAATCGGCAAAGGCATATTATAACTAGAAACAAACGCTCTTCCATTACACGGGTGGGTTTGCATCCAGCTTTCGACGGTCGCTCGCTGTGGGCCAAGCTTACAATTGAACCAAAACCAGCGTTTTGTGCCCTTCGGGTGCTGCTGCATGTAATGGCCCGTGGCGCGCTCAAGCGCCAGCCGAAGCGCGACTATCCTCACAGGCCTGTGGCGGTTCCGCGCAACCAAAGGACGCTGGTGCTTGACCCTGGGCAGCGAGTTAACAGCCGTAGCTACAGCAGCCAGACGCTTATGGACCCGTTGCAGGAGAGCTTCATAGTCCTTCAAAGAAACTAATTGAGGCTGGATCAAATTCAAGGCTTTTTCCGAAGCCCCTCTGGGCCAGGGCATCAGCTCGTTCATTACCTAATGTGACATACCAGGGCTGGGAGGCCACGCGCTACGCTCAGGCTCAGGGCGTCAAGATGAGAGCTACACTTCTTCACGCTGGCATTGGAGATCCTGCCGGGCCTCTGGAGGATAGCCTGCTTGATCCGCTGCCACCACTGCTTATGGGGCCTCGAGGGTAGAGCCACATACGAGAATTCCAACCACGGTACACCAAGGCGTCGTCGGTCCAGATATCGAGGGCCCCCTGGGTGTAGAGGAGACAACAATACAAAGCGGCCAGCTCTGCACACGGGACCGTCTGTTGGCCGTCGATGGAACCGTAGAGCCCTGGGAAACAATCTTCAGCTGGAATTACGTTGAAATCAACAGCGACCCCCCACCCTCCACGAACGATACGAGCGTCCGCCGAATTGACCGAGTCGTCGAGGTAGGCCCGCTGGGCCTGGATCGGGTGACCGCTGATGCTGGTGTAGTTCTCGAACTGGGGAACCTGGACGGGCATGTCGACATCGTAGACTGTCTGGGCGTCATTCCAATCTGGGGCCTATGGAACCTCATTGAGCCTGGCTGGTAGAATACCCTTGCACCAGAACATCTTCATGCCAAGCTCATCACTCATGGACTGAACGGCTCTGCTCTTGAGGTCCTGGGTGCGGCGGGTCCAGCCATGGTCGATGTCATCGTTTTTTTCTCGCACTGAAAGCATCTGCGCAGCAAATCCTCAGCTGCTTGTCCACAGCGCGGGCACGAGGCTGGACAATCGTAGCCCGCAGTGGAGGTGCGCCGAGCAGTCCAGCAATTTCCAGCAACGATGTTCTCCAGGGCTCCAGCCTCCTTGAAAAACTTTTTGCGTAGCATCCAGCGCAAGGTGCGCTGCGTCGCTTGTAAATGGCCCCCCTGCTCGCAGCCAAAACCCTCAGGGTGCTGGCCCGCTTGCTTCCACAGGCCAGCTGTGACTTGAGCATGAACTGCGTCAAAGAGAGAATCCAAGCCCGTGTCGTCTGGGTTGTATATCCAATCATTGCCTTCTGGGTCTGTCCAGCGGTCTGGGTGGCGAGGCTGCCAGCCAATCTCGCCCATGCCGACGGCGAGGGCGCCCATGGGTCCAGTGGCCGAGCGCCACTTCGATTTGGCTCGCACCTTGGCCATCTTGCCGAAGACAGCTTGCCATCCGAACCGCGCGCGCGCATGGTACGGCGGCTGATGCACCCAGAAGGTGAACCACTCCGTGATCTGGCGTCTCGGATTGAAGGCGAGAGGGTCTTGCTTGACATTGATGTGGGGCATGATGGCCGGCGTGCATCTGCCTCCCACCGTGAAGCCTGCCATGGTAGCTGCTGTGGCGCGCCGCTCTTGCTTGACTCTGGTCGCGGGCAGCCCCGTGACAGAGACGTCGTAGATCCGCTTGGCACGAGGGTTGGCGGTGTAGAGCCTTGCAGTAGCTTTCCGCCCCACTCCTCGTCTCTGAAAGATCTGCGCCCTTCGGAATCTTTTCGCCGTCGCTCTGGCTCTCTGGTGCGTCTCGCTCTGCCCACCGTCGAGTCGAAGCCGAGGTCCCTGGTTGTCTTGGCCGCACGTATAGTGACACCCACTTTGCGCATCGACTTGATGACTGCCTGCTGGACGGAGCGGTGGCCCAGGATGACAATCTGCTCAGAGACCTTCAAGCCTAGCTTCTGAATACCTTCCACGAGAGCTGCAGAGCCTTGTTCAATTTGGTAGCGAACGAGGGAGCGGTGCCCTTCGGCACGTACCATGAGATCGTCCACGAACTCTCGCATCATGAGACACTGGTATCGCAGGTGCACGTGCTCCAGTAGGTCGTAAAGGTAAGCCCGAGCCATGTTGTTCGCCTCCGTGCACCCAGCCAGTAGCCCGTTGTGGGGGATGACTGCGCCAGAGCTGTAGACATCTCGAACACGAATGATGCGGGGACTAAGGTACCGCAGACATGACATGTAGAGCACCACTGGGAAGAAGTCCAGCTTGGTTGCGAGGGTGCACAGTAAGCTGATATCCACGTGGCCATATAATTTCATGATGTCCAAGAAGAGGGTGGCAACTTCTGCGTCGCCTCGCACCGCCGAAGCTTCGTCCAAGATGAGGGTAGTCAGCGCCGCCTGCAGTGACGACGAACCCTTGATGGCGTTGTCCCAGAAGCCAGCCTTGGCGTCGCACCGTTGGCCTGTGATGTAACGGTTCATTCGTCCCCATACTCGAGCAGGCATGGGCAGTAGGCCGATGGGCCTATCGTCGCCGTGGTAACTGCCTCTCCTTTGGCGAGGAGGCAGATCCAGATCTGCATGAGCTGGTGTGGCGAGGAGAGCTTGCTGACGCACGTGTTCAACAGCTGCACGAACTCATGTTTCGCTGGCTGGCTGACCGCCTGGAGAGATGCACGTGACCATTGGTCCGTAGACTGTTCTGTATGCAGGGGGATAATCTTGAACGCAGCGTGAAGGTCGTCTATGGTGTACTCAATCCAGTCTGTGTCCAGCTGGTCGCGCGCCTTCCGTCTCAAGGCCTTCATGCTATCGGTGAGGTCGCTGCCTGCCGAATGTGTGGTCCATCGCTCTTGCCACTTGGCTGCTCTGGCGTCGACGGTGCCTCGCGGGTCGCCAATGACCTGGCTATTGTGAATGGCTGTATCGAGCAGGTCCCTCTTCTCGGCCGTCGAGATGTAGCGATGGGCTCCTTTGAGGCTGCCCTGTAGAGATATCTGAGCCCATTCGCGCACTGATACCTGTGCTGCTGACCAAGTAGCTTTGGAGTGCGCGTCGGCGAAGGTGCGGGACTTATCAAGAACTCCAGAGATCACTTCCGTCTCAGGGTAATTTCGATCATATCGAACTTGGTGTAGGATCGTGCTGAATCCATCCAAGAGGGGTAATTCGCCTTCTGGGCTGTCAAGTGGGGCTTTGGCCCTCATCCTCTGCACTGTGTCCACCAAGTTGTCCACAAGTTGGCGCGGTGCTGCTGCTGGAACTCGCCTCTCTGGGGGCTCGGCATCGTCTCGAGCTTGGTCATCGTCAGAAAGCTGCCCGTCCTCTTCAGCCGGTGCCCGATCTTGAAATAGGTCTCGGAACATCTGCCGAGTGGCCTCGTGGAGTCTCCAGAACTTGTTGATGGCAACATTCCGCGCTTCATGGTCGCATTCATATTCGGCAATCCAGTCAAAGAAAGCTTGGCGCCTCGGAGAAGCTCGTCGCGAAGGTCGCTCGCACAGATCATGAGCAACTTGCTCGAGTGGTCGGCCTCCGTGTCGCTGCTGTCGCTGTCGGGTGAGCTCGCTATTCCATGGCAGCAAGAGGTACTCGAGAAGGTATGGCTTGCACCAGCGCGTCCAGTCAGACGGCTCCTGCTGCTCCTCGCTGGTGAGCTCCGTGATCCAGGTTGCCGCCCAGACTGCGAGTGTCTCCGCAAGGTCGCGCACTGGAGGGGGGTCCTGTTGCTTCGTAGGGTCGCGGCTCATGAACTCCAGAGGCTTATGGAGATGGTAGTGCAGCTCTGCCTCGCCGACGACGGTGAGATAGCAGGAGGAGGAGGAGGAGGAGGAGGAGAAGGAGGAGGAGGAGGAGGAGGAGGGAGGGGGGAGGAGGGAGGAGGAGAGGGAGGGAGGAGGAGGACGAGCAAGACGAGGAGGCTCAGTGGGGACACCGCCGCGAACACCGCGCCCGCGCTCAGGACGCAGGCCAGGTCGGGGCCCTGGCGGCCGCACGCGCGTCGGGAACGTTCCTCAGAAGTAGTTCTCCACGAAGGGCACCGGCGCGAGCACCACGACGTCCTCGGGCTTGGCCTTGACGATCTTCATCTCCTTTTGGGGTCGGGCGGGAGGAGGGGGGATAGCAGTAAGGGGGGGGTTCGCGCATCGGCTCACGTGGCCGAGCTTCCTGTCTCTCCTCGCCCTTCGTGATCCTCGTCCTCCTCCTCCTCTTCCTCCTCCTCCTCCTCCTCCTCCTCCTCCTCCTCCTCCTCCTCCTCCTCCTCCGCTCCTCCTCCCCCTCCTCCGCCTCCTCCTCCTCCTCCTCCTCCTCCTCCTCCTACTCTTCCTCCTCCTCCTCCTCCTTCTCCTCCTCCTCCTGCTCCTCCTCCTCCTCACGGAGCCACCCCTATTATCGAGAAATGCGCATGGCGGCGGGGCCGAAACTGGCCGTCTACAGCAAAGTTCGTAACCCCCCACTTCCCGATTCCCCCTTTTCGTCCGACCCGATCCTTGGGTCCCTCGGGCTCCCTCTTGAGCTTCAGGCTCTTGCCGAGCATCTTCGCGTCCCGCTTCTTCTGGTCGTTGACCTTGACGCGCTGGAGGAACGCCTCGTTGCACCGGGACTTCTTGCAGTGCTCCGCCCGCACGTGGATGCGCTTCTTCAGCTGCCTGTTGCCCACGATCTTCGTCATCTCCACACCGAGGGCGTTGCGGTTGACGTTAAAGACGATGCCCGTCTTGCCATTGAAGAAGGAATGAGGCATGCCCTTTTGAATGGACGGGTCCACCACAATGTCCTACGGGGATACTCCGCAGCATAATTCCGCAAATGTGAGTACGTAAGGAGGCAACACATCTGCGCGCGGGAACAAATCCTAGATGTCTGGGGTGGTCCGAGGGGCGGGCATAGCGGGCAACCGCGGGCACTTCCTGCCCCACCTCTCCAGGGCGCCTGAGTCTGGCCGAAGCCGGCGCCTCTTACCCTCGAAACGCCAACTCTAGCATCCCGAACATTCAATACACTGGGCCAAAAGAGAAGGGGACGCAGGCGGCCAAGACCAGGGACGAAAGAAAGCCCGTCCAGGGGCAAGAGAGATCCGATCGCTGATCAGCGAGAGCTTTAATGAGACGAATCCGCATCCCCTCATGGGGGCCTTGAGTGCAAGCTGGAGGAGGAGGCAGCACGCACTGTCGGCGCCCGGCCCCGAGGACGCGAGTCCAAAGCGTGTGGAGATGGGCCCAGAGAGAAGGCCATTCCAAGGCGGAAGGCCGCAGCACGAGGAGCGCAAAGGCACCGGGAAGCTGGAAGCACACGCGGCTGGACTCACATGCGGAACATCTGGAAGCCACTGGCTGGGTAAATACACATGCGGAGGACCACCGTGCCTGGCCGCACGAGGCCCGAGGGCTGGAAAGACATGCGGCCACGTGTGCGTTATCCAGCACTCGCTCAGGCTGGTCACGGGATGTGTACAGTAGGGGCCCGACCACCAGAAACCTTCCACAAGAAACCGAACCCTGAGGCCCCAGGACGTCCGTTGCTTTTTCGGTGTGGGAGCGGCACGCTGTCCGTGGCAAGACCATCGAAACCCAAGAGACCCGGAGCACCCTGGAGGCAAGCAGGGCGTTGCTCGCCATGGGCCTCCACTGCACCCAGCGCCCTGGCAATACTCCACGGCCGAGGCTCAAAACAGGGCTATAGGATCGGGATAAATCGCTCCAGAGCGTTCCGGAGCGCTCTCAGAGCGTTCCAGAACGCTCTGGAGCGGCCGCGGCGCCCGATACATCCTCCAAACCCGCCGATTCTCAGAGATTTCGAATTACCCCGATCCGATTTTGTCCCGATCTTCGCGTCGTTTGAGAGGCTGCTCCTCACCGCGGCGCCGGGCGTGCGCGCGGGCACCGAGCCCCCCGCCGGGCCGCGGCGCTCCCGACGGGGCGGGCACAGCGAGGGGGCCCGACGGGCGCTCCCGAGCCGGCCCGGGCATCCCGAGCTGGGTCACGCGACCTCGCGCGTCGCTCCTCCTCCTCCTCCTCCTCCTCCTCCTCCTCCTCCTTCCTCCTCCTCCTCCTCCTCCTCCTCCTCCTCCTCCTCCTCCTCCTCCTCCTCCTCCTCCTCCTCCTCCTCCTCCCCGCGCCGCGCGGCTGGCGTCGCGCCCCCGCGAGGCCACGTTGCAGCAGGGCCGCCGCTCGGCCCACGCCGCGGCGCGCCCGGCGCGACGATCTTGGCGCCCTCGCGGGCGACGCTGAGAAGGGCGCAAGGCACCTGCAGCGCGCCAAGAAGCTGGGGATGCGCGCGCCCGCCTGGGGGGGCACCTTGGGCCGAGGAAGCAGAGCACATGCCAAAGACCCCCCAGAATGGACAGAGGCAGAGGTGCCCTGCCTGGACGGCTCACCCTCGAGGCCGACTGGCCGACTTTGACTGTATCCGCCTGTGCGTGGGTAGTGCACGCTTGATGTAGGACGACGATTAAGAAATGTCCGGTGAGGCCCGTGATGCAGGAGCGCCCTGGGCGATGATTGATATATTTGGGTCCGGGCCTGCGCGTGGGCGTCGTCGTCGTGATCATTGAGATCCTTTGATCGTCCTCTGCAACATCATTCCCAGCGGCAGAAAACTACAATGCGGGCGCGGCCGCAAGAGATCCTCGCAAGAGATCCTCGCAAGAGGTGCACCTGAGGGGAAACCTGGAGCACCCTGAACGCAGCAGCTTCTTCAACGGCTGCGGGAAGTCACCGCGCAGCGCGAGGGGCGAAGAAACCAAGGATACCCTGACGAAAAGCATATGGCTTCTTGATGCGCGCCCCCACTGTAAGTGCTGCATCGTTCCCCAGTGTTGCAGTCTTATCGTCGTCCGACGATACGCCGCAAGCTCCCCCCGTCGAGTCCACGAAGTCGCCCCGCTTGAAGTTGACGAGCAGGCGAGACACGCCGGGCTCGCCCTTGCACCTCCACTTCTTCGAGAACGCGTTGCGCGTTCCTGCCGTGGTTTTCGAAGAAAAACGCCCATCTCGAATGCGTGTTGAAGCGGGTCCAACCCCCCAGCCCAAATTTCAAAGTTCGGGGCGGTCGACGCGGGGGAGTGCGAGTCGTTTCGAAAAACATACCCACATTTGCCGCACCCGCCGCCGCCACTGTACCGAGGACCCAACTCGTGCTGCAGCTTCTGGGGGCCTCGTCTGTCCCTCCGCGTCGCTCTCCGTGCCTAATCCGCGTCGAACCCATGGCGAACGCGTCGAATCCGCATCGAGTCCGCGTCGAAGGCGTCGAGTCCGCGGTGGGTCCAGGTCGAATCTGCCTCGAAGCCACGTTAAGCCGTCGTCGGGGACGAGAGAAGAGACTCCGGTTTACAGGACAGGCAAGGTCCCCCGAATATGCAACGTTTTCCTGAGGCTCAGACGGAGCGGCAGGTTCGCGTCGTGACGACTCTGGCGTTGTTCGGCGACTACAATGGGTGCGGTTTGCGAAGGGTGCGATTTGCCTCCTGTCATGCCTGCCCTTCCCACCCCCGGAAAAGGGATGGCACTGTCACTCAGTGCGACCGAATCACATGACACTGTCGCTCCTTCTAGTACAATGGAACACATATCGAGGATGACAGTGTCGCTCGAAACGACGACAGTCATGACATTGTCTCTCACAAAGGTCCCGGAAAGGCCGCCACAAAGCCACTCGCAAACCGCACCCCGGCGTAACCGCACCGATTGTAGGCGCCGAGTTGTGGCTTCTGCCACCGCGTGGCGCGTTCGACCTTGAGCGATCCCGGCTTCCCGATGGCGCCTATCGCTGGATATCGGCCGATGCGGGGCCACGGGCGGCGCTCGACCTCCAACGCCCCGCGCAGAGACGCGACGCGAACCTGCTGTGGGGAGCCTCGGAGGGCCTGGAGGATTGGCGAGCACAAACCCCCGACCTCATCGAGCTCCCGGGCACGCCCAGGGTGCTGCGTGGGCCGGGCCCCTCGGAGGATCTAGGATCGTGGAGCTCCCGGGAGGGCGCGACGGGCCACACGCGTGTGCCCAGGGCCTCCCCGGCCAGCTCCCGGAGGCCCCCGTGTGCCACGGCGGCGGGATGGGCCGCAGACCACCGACTGCAGCGGTGTGAGCCTGCGGTGGGAGTGCGTAGGCGCCTGGGGAGAGAAGAGAGAGAAGACGACGAGGGTGAGGAGGACAGCCGCGACGATGGCGAGGAGAGAGACGACGGCAAGCAGGGGGCGCAGGGGATGGCGAGGAGAAAAGGAGCTTCGAAGTGCAAGAGAGAAGGCATGATGAAGAAGATGATGATGACGATGATGATGATGATGATGATGATGATGATGAGGAGGAGGAGGAGGAGGAGGAGGAGGAGGAAGAGAAGGAGGAGGCGGAGGAGGAGGAGGATGATGCTGATGATGAGGATGAGGATGATGATGAGGAGGAGGAGGAGGAGGAGGAGGAGGGAGAAGGAGGAGGAGGAGGAGAGGGAGGAGGAGGAGGAGGAGGAGGAGGAGGAGGAGGACCAGTGTAAACCCAAGAGTCATCAACGATGTTGGAATAAACCCTCCCCCCAGGCTCCCTCTTCATAGGCCCCTACACGGGCTCATTTCCACTGAGGGAACTGCCTCGTTGGAAGGCAACCGTTTGAAGACCCTGAAGCATGCCAAAATACTATTCTCGGGACTCCCGCGCCAGGGTCAACCTGACTGTTGCGTCTTGACGGTCCTGAACCGTGCCAGAACGCCATTCCTGGGACTTCAACACCGCGAATCAACGTTACTGTTGAACCCTCACAATCCTGAACCTTTCCAAATCACCATGCCTGGTAACGCTGGCCATGGGAATCCGTGAAACTCTTGCCATTGCTTTGTAAAGAGTGTGCGCGACGCTTAGGCGAGAGCCACATATTGAAAACGAACCACCCTCAATCCTTGAAACTCTTGCAACATTTTGGCACGAACGTGCGCGGCGCTAAGGCGAGAGCCGCATGTTGAAAACCACCCATCCTCAATCCTTGAAGCTCTTGCAAATGTTCAAAAACGAATGCGCGCCGCGCTAAGGCGAGAGCCACATGTTGAAAATCACCCGCCCTCAATCCGTGAACATCTTGCAAATGTTTACAACGAATGTGCGAGGCCCCAAGGCGAGGGCCACATTTTGATTACGGCCCGCCCTGTATTTGCGAAACTGTGGTCAGTTTTTAAGCTTCAGGGTCATGAGTGGTGAGAAAATCTCGAGCGAAACGCCCGGCCCGCCCTTTCGACAGGCCTCGGGTCGCGACAAGGAGGAGTTACTCATCAGGACAAGGAATGAAGAAGGAGCGGGAAGAGACGGAGGAAAACGCACAGGCTCAGAAGCAGGAGGAGCACGAGAGTGGGGACGAGAACGGGCCTTCTTGGCCCTGCAGGGGGGGTCGCCCCCCTCCTCCCTCTTCTTTCTCACCCTCTCCCTACCAGAGAAGGAAAAACGGCATAAACATAAACGTTCGACGCTCCTCGCGGATTTCTTGAGTCGCAGCGCGCCAGGGGCGGCGCTGGAGGCGCCGCCAGGGGGCTCCAGCGCAGATCCAAGAGATCCGCGCGGACCGCCCACAGCTTATGCTCATGCCGCCTCTTCTTCTCCGACATGCTCTGTTTCTTCTTTGCCGAGCTATGGGGGCGCCATTTCGACCTACTCCTCCCGCTTCTCAGCGTCGCTCTCCTCCCTGAGCGCGCAATCTTCTCCTCCGCCCCGGAGCGCACCGGGTAGACGAGTTCTGCAATTTCCAGGGCGGGGTCCAGGCGCACGGGCCAACGCTGGCACGCTAGGGAGCATCCGTCTCCCTCTTTCTCGCCCCTATACCTCCTGTTTTTCTCGTCGCCACGGGCCGAATTAACTACTCTTTATGATCCGCGTCCAACTCGTCAGCATCCTCATCATCCTCCGCTTCCCCTCATCCTGCTCCTCCTCCGCCCCCCTCCCCCCGCCGATGCAGCTGCTCCTCCGCATCCGTCATCATCGTCCTGTTCCTGCTGCAATTGCTCCTGCTCCTCCTCGTCTCCTCCTTCTCCTCCTCCTCCTCCCTTTCCTTATGTTCCTCACTCCTTCCTCATCCCATCATGCTCCTGCTC